TAGAATATTTTCTGTGTTTAACTTATTTAAATGTCCTTAAAACACAAAGTAAACAGATTATCTTTGGACAAAACACTTTCACAAAAATAATAATCAGCAGCTTAATGAATGAACTAAGAGTCTGAAGTTGATGTTTTCACTGAAGTCAGTTCATTTTAAATGTACAACTTTAACAATGTCTCTGTTTTTATTTTATTTCATTTGTGCCAAATTATTCACGTGTGGTTGTTTTCAGAAAACTCAAAGTGAATTAAAGATCCACATGTTTTTATTCTAACAAACTGGAGCTGTGAAATAAAACGTAGTTTGTTTACTTGAGTCGCGTTGATCCCAACCAATCAGAACGTTCTGTTAGAGGAGAAGAAAATTAACCCTCGATCGTCTGATACTTTAACGAACGTCTTCCTCTCATCTTTGTCCTCGAGTGTTTTTCATCATGTTAGCGGACGTTACTTTGGATTCTGCAGAAAACACTGAACCCTGAAGCTGAATTTCTGATTTCTTGTCTGAAACAAGTTAATTCAGCGAAGTTTGTTTTTTTAACGTTATTTAAAAACCTTCATTACATCCAAAAAGTCTCAAACTCTTTAAATTTAATTTTGCATAACAGATAAAAATGTGTTGAGCGCTGCCATGAACAGAAAAGCACCACGTTAGCATCGCAGGTGAATTAACAGTCCACTGATTTAAACTAAGTGCATTTCATTGATCCACTGAGACGAGTAGAAAGCGAACACGTCTTAAATATAATTTTTACTCTATAAATACTTTAAATATTAATTTCACTGGACACATTTTGTTTCTATTTTTCTGTTCAACCATCCAGAAATAAGTTTATTCTCCTTTTATCTAAACTTTAAATTCCAAAATACTCGAGATATCAAAAATATTCCCGTTGTTTTTGAGCACGGAGCTGCCACAGAGAAATGAAAACACTGACTGTGTGAGACGTAAAGGGGGGGGAGGGGTAAAGCGTTCGAACAAGAGAGAAACGTTTCAGTCCATCACGTCAACATGGAGGCTGTGGAGTCGCTGCTGTCGAGTTAGAAGCTCACGTCGGGATGATTCATTATCATTTGTAAATAATCACAATGTTTTTGTTGCTCCGACGCTTCCTGAGAGGAGACCTGATATTTATAGACTCTGTGTTTCACTTTATTTTTAAAAACTGCTTCATCTCATCTCCAAGAGAACTTAAACCGGAGCCCGACCGATGACAAGAGGCCGATACTGAAGAAAGTTCTGTCGCAGATTTGTCAGCAGATTAATATGGAAGCTCGATTCTGCCACTTTTTAAAGAATTAGAATTAAAAGGAAGAAAATAATGACTTTTTAATCTCATCATTTACTTAATGATTATGAACAACAACTCTTTTTTTTTAGCGGTGGAAACTTTTCCCTCGACAGCAGCGATTCAGCTTCACAGGAAACAAAACCTGAAACGTCGGCGCTGCTCCTGACGTCGTGACTTCAGCACCGTGGACGTGATCTAGAGCGGAGAGGTGGCTTCAGCTCTCAGGGATTCAAAACTAAAAGCCTGTTCTGAGGGAGCTTTTTTCCTCAACAGCCGCTGCTAAGGCTTCTGGGTACTGTCGTATTTCCCAGGAGGCTCCTCTGAAAAGCTGAATTCTACATTAAAAGCTTTTCCTACGTCTTGACTGGATTTTTCTGTTGTTGTGAAAAGCAGCGTTTTAATGCGACGGACGGTAACGACACAAACACGGTTCTCGGTTAGTTCGATGCTCTGCAGAGGAAACGTGGTTTTCGGGGGCGGATCCCGTCTCTACCTCAGCCGGGCAGAGAAGCAGCGCATGTACTCCGTCATCCAGCGGTCGTCCACCACCGCCAGCTGCGACCGCCTCACCTTCTCCAGGTCAGCTGACCGAGCCCGCCGCCGCTCCAGGTTGGTGCTGCGTTTGTCGGACTCCCGCCGGGTCTGACTCTGAGAGGAGAAACCAGAGAGAGGACTCGTTTCTGAAAAGCACTCCGGTGGTTCATTATTCATGTTCCGGTGTTTGGTGACTCGGCTTCACGTGTCCAGTTTCCTGTGAACGAGGCCGAGCTGCTCGGAACGATTCAAAGTCTTCTCACTTTTTAACTTTGCATCGTGGAGCCGGACGTTTGCAAAACAACTCACAGAGTCAAGAGAGAATTTAGAAATGTTTAGAAAGTTTGAAACATCAAAGTCACATTTCTGTTTGATAAAAACATCTCAGTCGTTTTTTAATAAATATGAAATCAGTCGGGTTTTATCTTTTTGTCAATGAACTTCAGTTAAAAAGACGCAGCGTCTTTAACACTCACGTCGTTGGTCGTCCTCTTGACCTCCGTCTGTCTCTCGGTCCAGTCCAGTCGGCTGGACGGTCTCCGGTTCTCCTTGGTGCTGATCGGAGGCTGGCTCTTTGCCCTCTGTGCTTTTCGGACGACAGCCTGTTTGTCGTCATGGGAACTGTCCCGGGGTCCCGGCTCAGAGTGAGGGGTGCGTCGGCGGTGACGGCGCCTCAGTGCCGGGTTCACTGGCTCCCCATCAGAAGACGTCGTGTCCGCCGGGCCGTTGTCTGTTGCGGTGCCGTCTGAGGGGCTGCTGCTGTTTGGAGCCGGCGTCACTGAACCTCCGCCGGCTTCATTCACGCCGTTCTCTACAACCGCTGCTTTAAAGAGACACAAACACACGTCACGTGGAAAACTTTTCTCACTGAGCTGCTGCCGGAGCTCTTTCATTTTTAAATGTTTAATGAAAACAAGTCAAGTCAGAAATAACCATATTTGGAAGATTGGAGGGTGGAGCCTGACTGAGCTCGAGGTCACCGCACGCCCACCTAAACCTGACACCTGCACCCATTGGACGGCACTGACTGTCTGTCCCACGGTGTCCACGCCCCCTGACACGGACTCCTCTGGAGTTATGGCTGAACGTCTCGACCAAGTTGTAACGTTTTCATTTTTCAATCTGAGAAAAGAGAAGAGAAGCATCCTCACCCGTGTTGGGTGCAGCAGGTGCAGCGTCTTCAGTTTCTCCAGCTCCGACCTCGGCCTCGTCAGACGGCGGCTCCGGGCCGGGGCTCGTGGTCAACTCGCTCAACCTCTGCTTCACCTCCGAGGACGGCACTGGCGGCGGTGGTGGGAGGGACAGGGGGGCGACTTTGTTCCGGATCAGCCTGGGTGTGGACCAGCCGCTGGAGTCGGAGCCGCTGTCCCAGCCCTCCCAGAACCAGGGCTTGTGGGAATGCTCCATCACCCGCCGGGTCAGACGGTACTTCAGGGAGTCCTCGTAGCATTTAGAAAACGTCTCCCACTTGGGATCCTTGAACTTCTTCATATACTCCGTCCGGATTTTCTTGGTGACCATGATTCTCGTCTGGTTTTAATCACTGGAGAAAACCAGGAGGGAATAAAACACGGACATTAACAGAATAAAATGAAAACAGTCGTCTGATAGAAACTTAATCCACTAACGTCTGATGTGAATCACTTCTCTTATCTGGATCATCTTAAACTGCTCAACTAACCGACCTCACACTTGTTTCATGTTTTGCCGGAGAAAGTGTGAGTTTTGTTTGATTTGGACTCAACCAAGAACTCCTTCGCCTGTAGCTCGGTTGCTAGGTGACGCTGTGAGGGCGGGACAAACTGGTGATGCAATAAGAAGACATCAGACCGTCTCATCTCAGTTTGGATTATTCAGTTTACGTGGCTGGCGAAGGATGCGTAGAAGAGAGAGATGCGTCCTGCAAGCGTTCGTTGATGTCAAACGTAAACAAACATGTCTGATTGTGAGAATGTTTATTTGTCTCGTGATGAGACAATCCAACTGCGACCAGTCCAGCCTCCGTTCATACGGAAACAAAGAGACGCCACTATACATTTAATTTGACTTTTATATTTTATTTTTGTCAGACAACTGCTTCGCCGTGTAATCGTGAAAACCGAGTTCACGAACAGGAACAGCAGCTACTGTGAGGGGATGTTGTGACGTACATCCGCCAGGTGTGGTCTACCTGTAGGCCCCGCCCACCAGATTACAGGCTCATTCTAATCTGATTGATCCACAACAACTGTCACTCACACTTCAGCAGCAACCACACACACACACACACACACAC